GTAGTTGACCCCAACACGGACGCAAAGTACATGCACATTGACACGATCAATACCACCACACACACACACACACACATACAGATACACACAGACTCGTTCTCGTGTTTGCGAATGAAAAAAACCAAGCCTATATTATCTACCATCTGCTCTGGTCACCAAAAGGTTAGTTTCGCACGCTGATTACCTTTTTCATTCCACATTTTATATAAACCTCTTCTAACATTAGCTCTTATCTTTGTAGTGTCGAGGTAAGTGAAATGATTCTGTCATTAATATCTATCACACCATTTCATCCAAGTGTGTACCTTATAAGTGTAAAATCATTTTTTATATGCTTAACCGCTGTGTTCAATGATTTTTTTTAACATGTAAAAAGGCTAATCAATTACGAAGTGTTAATTAGTCTATACAGTGTTGTTTTTCGTGTAGCTGATTTATCGCATGTGTGCTCAGTTTAAACATACAGTAACTATAAATACGAGCCGACCCGCGGCATATCATACGCCGCTATTTAGTTTTTTTTTTCAACTTTTCAGTTATTCATAATTTGTGAATTCGACACTACCAACGCTGCCACTGAAAATATTTCTTTAAAACACTATAAGTAGCTCGTTAAGAACGATAACCCCCCCCCCTCCTCCTTCCCCCCCCTTCTCCCCCCCCCCCTCCTCCCTCCCCCCCCCCTCCGTTAAAGTAAACTCCACTTAGTTACCCCCCCTACGTTTAAAATCGTTTCAAACTAAATTATCTGCCCCTAATAGTCGTCACTAAACCCGGCTCTGTTTGTAAACATTTAGAGTGAACCACAGCTCACCAGACCATGTTGGGGTGGGGGTGGTAGGGAGCGCGTTTACAGCTAGTTTTCTAGCGTCTCCCAGAAGAGAATTATATATATAGATAACACTAATACCCCCCCCCCCCCCATCCATGCAATAAAAGTGATTGATTATGAAGTTTCATTCATATACTAAATCTAAGAGAAAACGATCACAAACATAATACTAAAAGTTTACTAATGATCGGATTAGGTCTTCTCTTTTAAAAAACTTGTAAGCGACACAAGTAGCGCTGAAGACATCGTGTAGATGGAGTAAAGTTTATCTGTTTGTCTTCAATATATATAAAGTACTATGAGTCGGCGATTAGGTCAGGTACCAATCAAAGCTGAGCAGACTCAGTCGTATAACAGTTCATTTGGACTTCTGAGAGATAATATGAGATAATTATGAGATAATTTTAAGTAGAGAGATGTCTGGCTTTTAATAAACATAATTAACTTTTGCATTAAGTTTCTAGATGAAAAATAACCTTCCTCAATATTTGATTTCCTTGCGTGCAAATTACAAGGCGCGCGGAATATGAAATGCTAAATAAATCAAATTGCATTTCTTCTACACAACACAGAAGGAAAATCATGGTTCATCTGGCTGTATTGGTTCTGGTCGTCATTGGTCAGCTGGTCAGTGCTGACCAACAGCAGCAGCTGGCACTGTCTGCAGCCACATCCGGGTTTTCACAGAGATTGTACCAGAAGGTGGCGCTAGACAAGCCAAACGTCATCTACTCACCTTACAGGTAGGTGACACTTCCGGTCTACTCACCTTACAGGCAGTGTTTCTTCCAGACTTTTTTCTCGGGGGGGGGGGGGGCGGACACTGTTAAAAGTATATATTTTCTATATAAATTATATAAATTTCATTTCGTTCGTGAAGGGGGGGGGGCGGTAGAATTTTTTCGAAGGGGGGGGGGGGGGGGCGAAGAGATGCCTGGAAGAAACTCTGCTTACAGGTAGGTGACACTTCCGGTCTACTCACCTTACAGGTAGGTGACACTTCCGGTTGATATGGTGACTGAGGTTTTGAAGTTTTCCAAGTCAAGAGTCACAATTTAAGTTGTTGTTTTTTTTTATTATTTAAAACTGGATGTTGGTTAATATCATATTTTGATTGTTGGTGTCTAAAACTATGAAGCTTTTCGAATTAGATTTGGGAGACTTATCGTTGATGTTTTTTTCAACCAGATTCCATTGGGATTATTTTCTTTTTCCTTTTTTTGGTGTCGAAGTCGGTCTAATGTTCGGGTCTTTGTTGTTTATCAAATTGACACGAATTCAGCTTACTAGTGAATATTTTAATACAATCATGTGTAAAATTATATTTAAAACCATGAAATCTGCATAAATGGTAATGTAATTAATTTTTTTAACGATTTTAACCAATTGTTTATTGAATTATGAAGAATTATGAATTATGATGAATGTTGCAATACAACGTCAATTTTTTTTGTACAATTAAATTACATTTAGGATAGTAGCCTACACACACATGCACACACTCAAACACACACACACATTTAGTTGTTTCCCTTTTTCTTCCCAGCATCCACTCCGCCCTGACGATGACGTCACTGGGTGCCAAGGGAGACACCGCCACGGAGATGGCACAGACGCTGGGACTTACCTCCCTTGGCTCCTCAGCCCATCTCGCCTACCAGGAGCTTATCACTGACGTAACTCATCTTTGCTTCAGCTTTACCGATCTAATGTACCAAACTAATTAGAGTACCTAGTTAATTGGGTGATCCGTTGTGACAGGTGAAGTAGAGTTCATATGTTTAAGTGAACTCGGCGTGTAAATGGGTAACGTGGTTAGCGCTATGCCTAGCCGCCTTTACTTTCCTTAACGTGAGTCAGGTACCCATCAAACCTAGGGTGGACTGGGATTCGAACTCGACACTTTCGGGTTGGCGGTCGTATGTTCTATCATCCGACCACGTCGTCCCATCACAAAACTAATCAAATACTGTTAAGATCTAGTGATCCATTGGGAAGATACAGTAGAGTTCATATGTTTTTTGACCTCGAGATATGAAGGGAAAGTGTGGGGGGTCTTTACTTTCCCTAAAATGAGTTAGGTACCCATCAGAGCTGAATGGAATTCGAACTCGAGGCTTTCGTGTTATCAGCCTAGTCAAGTAACTTAGCTGATTTATTTTTCCTATGAATGTAGAGCGACGCAATATGGAGTGTTTAACCTTTCACTAAGTAAGAAATAGAACTGTGTCACTGGACTTCACATATTTTAGTAAAAACCAAACACGAAAATTTAAACGAAAAAAAAAAATATTTTAAACTAAGTATTTCATACACCACATTTACATCACAAAGGCTAAGCTAATTTTTTCATTTGTATATATTAGCTTGATCAAGATTAAAAAAAATATCTTCCATTTATTGATTATTTGTTTGATCTTGTTTTGTTGTTTTATATGCTTATTCTTGTTTATATTTATTCATATTTTAACCTTAACGTATTCAATGTAAAAACCATTAAATACTATGTTCCCATGTAAAAACTATAAAATACTTTGTACCCATGTAAAAACCATAAAGTACTGTTCCCATGTAAAAACCAAAAAATACTATGTTCCCATGTAAAAACCATAAAATACTGTTCCCATGTAAAAAATATAAATTACTATGTTCCCATGTAAAAAATATAAATTACTATTTTCCCCATGTAAAAACAATAAAATACTATGTTCCCATGTAAAAACCATAAAATACTATGTCCCCTATGTAAAAACCATAAAATACTATGTTCCCATATAAAAACCATAAAATACTATGTTCCCATATAAAAACCATAAAAGACTATGTTCCCATGTAAACACCATAAAATACTGTTCCCATGTAAAAAATATAAATTACTATGTTCCCATGTAAAAAATATAAATTACTATTTTCCACATGTAAAAACCATAAAAGACTATGTTCCCGTGTAAAAACCATAAAATACCATGTCCCCATGTAAAAACTATAAAATACTATGTTCCCATGTAAAAACCATAAAATACCATGTCCCCATGTAAAAACAATAAAATACTATGTTCCCATGTAAAAACAATAAAATACCATGTCCCCATGTAAAAGCCATAAAATACTATGTTCTCATGTAAAAACCATAAAATACTATGTCCCCTATGTAAAAACCATAAACTACTATGTTCCCATGTAAAAACCATAAAATACTATGTTCACATGCTTCTTACCCTCTCTTATAACCTCAGCTCAACGCCGTGAAAGAAGTTGCCCTTCACACCGGAAACGCCATCTTTGTCAACCCTTACGACCCAATCGTCCCCCAGTTCACAGAAGATGTCACGAACGACTACTTTGCCAAGACGGAGAACTTTGACTTATCTGCCCCTGCGGGTCCCGAAAAAGCCGTCAACGATTACATCGCTCAAGCTACGGAGAACATGATCCAGAATGTTCTGCCCCAAGGTTAGTACAACTATATCAGAAATCTTTTCAAAGTGTTATAATTTATAAGAAGTAAACGAATCCTCTTTAGCTCTATCGATCCATTGGACAAATGAAGTAGAGTTCATATGTTTCTTGACCTCGGCAAATGAAGGGAAGGTATGGTAAGCACTTAGCCAAGCCGCCTTTACTTTTCCTTAAATGAGTTAGTTACCTATCATAATCGGGTGGACTCTGGTAAGTGTTACTGACTTGGTGTCGGATTCGAACTCTATACTTTCGGGGTAGTAGCTTAGCGTTCTAACGCTTAGGCCACGCTATCCCAAAAAAGTTAGATTTGAGATATTGTGTTACATGTTTTACGATATGTGTGAAGGTGTGTGTGACGGGTGTATTTATACGTGAACATATATTCATAAATTCATAATAATTTATAATTAAATATAGTGTGTCGTTAAATTTTAGGTGTTTGTGTGGGGGTGTATATAAATACATGAACATATATTCATAAATTCATATATACGTATATATAAATATATTGAGTGTGTTCATTTAAAAACACAGGAAGCATTGATGCCAGCACTGTGATGGTACTTGTCAACACCATTTTCTTTAACGGCACCTGGGCCTCCCAGTTCCCCAAATACAAGACACAGAAGAAAGACTTCCATCAAGTTGGTGGTGCCGTCAGCCAGGTAAGATTTGTTCCATGGATTTGTTGCAGTAACTTTTGTTG